GGTTATCCTTATTAGACATCATCTTGATTTGCTGGCAGATTGCTTTCCCAGCATCTAAACAGAATGTTCTGTACTTCAGCTTTTGCTCAGTGCCTCTTGTCCTGCCACTGGGCACCGTTGGCAAGAGTCTGTCTCCTTCATCTTGATTCCCTCCCATCAGGTATTTATGCATAGTGATAACAGGCCCCAAGTCTTCTCTTTTCCAGGTTGAACAGTCCCAGCTCTCTCATTCTCTCCTCGTTTGTCAGATACTCCCATCCCTTGCACGTTGCTGACTTGCATTCCCTTTGTCTTCCAGGACTCCCATGTCTTTTTCTGCAGAGCCGCTTTTCAGCCAGTCACTCCCCTGTGCCCAGGGTTCCTCCCCAAGTGCAGGACTTTGCACTTCCCGTTGTTGAACTTCATGAGGTTCCTCCTGGCCTATTTCGATAGCCTGTCCAGGTCCCTCTGCATGGCAGCACATCCCTCTGGCGTATGCCGCTCCACCCAGGTTTGTTTCATCTGCAAACAGCATTACTAGGCTGAGTCCCATTGCTGAGAATTCAAGAGATGAAACTCTGTAATAATGGCTGAGGGAGCACGGCTGTAACATCCCGTACTGATTCCTGAAGTGAACTACAGATGGCAAAACTGTTTGAGACTATTGTGGCTAATGGCTTCTCTGTACAGATGTTAGATGAAAATAGGTATATCTTGACTGAGGAGGAATTTCTAGTTGCTGTGCTTGAGGACGAATGAGGGAAGAGGTCTGTTGGCAAGCTCGTTGTGAGAAATAGGGAAATAAAGATAGGAAACAGCTTTAAACTCTCGGTGCCAACTCTCCTGATTCAAGGGTTGCTACTAGAGAATGTTTCTTTTCCAGGAAAGGAAAACCTGATTTCAAGGGGATCTGAGTTCTGTTTGCACTTCTTCAATAGATGTTTCCTTAAACTTTGGTATCAGCAATCAAAGTTGTTGCCCAATTCTGCAGTAAAAGCTGCATTGGTGAAGCTCTGTAACGAGCAAACAGAATTCACCATAAGATTAGCATTCCCAACTAGATTTGAATTGGTGATTTAAACCCTTTACAAATTTATTGAACCATCCAGTACTCTTTAGATTTTTCTTTTTTTTTTTTTTTTTAAGAGGGAGAAGGGAAGGAAGAATGGATATTTTCTAAAATTTGAAATTGTCTTCCACGTTAATGAAGGAACAGTGTTGGATGAGCTTGAAGAGAAGGATGAAAAAGTCTGCTTCATGTTTACATAAAGCATAATGTTCCATGATGTGGACCTCTCTGACTTTGGTTGGGCTAGCAGAAAACTTTGAGTGTGTTCCATTGACCATGCTAGCACATCTAGTGTTCTATAGAAAGGATAGCATCAGAGAACGGCAGACAGAGAGAGGCCTTTCAATTCAGAACATTGTCTCTCTCGAAATGCCATTTGCATTTTGTTGCAACATGCTAAGATAGGACCGTACCAAACATAACCAATAAGAAAAATAAATCCAGCTGTTTTTAAATGGAATGTCAGTAAACTAAGTTTGAAAAATTACTATCCTCCGTAGGACCTGAACAGCTGTTTGTTAAGTTGGTGTATACCTCAGTATAAAAAGAGCATTGTGATTTAAAAAGTGTCGTTTTGTGACATGGAGAACCCTCAAATCCTTCTGTGTTTCAGAGGGCTCAAGAATTGACTCCTTGGGCTAAGACATGCAAGTGAGCAAATGGAAAGTCGCAGCAGGACTTC